AACATCTGGGTGTCCTTCAGGGCCCCGAATCATCAGGGGTAACTCGGGTCAGGGCCAACTCGGGCTCGTTTTTTCGTTTTTCGGGAATCCGAGCCCGACTTCCCCCGGACCCGAGTTACCCCGGATGATTCGGGCGTCCAGAGCCCCACATCATCCGGGGTAATTCGGGTCAGGGCTAACTCGGGTTCCTTTTTCGGGAATCCAAACCCGAGTTACCCCGGATAACTCGGGCGCCCAAGTCCTGGGGCGCCGCCACGTCGCGGGAAAAACCTGCGTTTGACTTCGAGGAGGGATGTCAGCACAGCTCGAGGGGGGAAGCACGCCGACCAGGACCTGCCAGGAGGGCCCAGACCACGACAGTGGGGGTAGGGATCGGTTCCCTTTTCTTCCGTAAGAAAGCGGGGGAGGCCTTGTTTTTGTTTGTGTGTGGGGGGGTCTGATTGGAGCTCTCTTGGGGGGTCCCCGGGGGGTCTGGGCAAAAGGCCGCCCATCCGTGGCTGGTTTCGTCGTCTTTTTTCTTATCACTACGACATCGAGAGCAATCGATGCTCGTGCGCGCGGCCCACAGGCCCCCCATCGCCAGGACCTCAGGGGACCCCCATTCGCTCCGCTGCTTGCACGATTACAAGAAGGCATGCTCGATCGCTTCCCTGGCGATTGGAACGCCGTGGATCATCCCTTCACCCATCCTGCAGGTTCGTCGTCTTCGTTTGTCTTACCGCTACGACATCGAGAGCAATCGAGGGGAGGCCTTATTTTTGTTTGTGGGGGGGGTCTGATTGGAGCTCTCTTGGGGGGGTCCGGGGGGGTCTGGGCAAAAAGGCCGCCCATCCGTGGCTGGTTTCGTCGTTTTTTGTTTATATATATATATATATATCACTACAACATCGAGAGCAGTCGATGCTCGCGCGCGCGGCCCCCCTCGGCCCCCCCATCGCCGTGGCGCGCGCGCGCGCGTCCCCGCGCGCCGCGCGGGGGGCCGGCAGGCGCCGTGGCCTCGCGGCCCCGCGCCGCTCCTCCCGCCGTGGGGGGATGCGGGTCCTGCGGGAAGCAGGCCTGGAGCTGTGGAGGACGATCAATGGAGAGGCTGCTGCTCCTCCTGCTCCTCCTCGTCCTCCTCCTCCTCCTCCTCCTCCTCTTCCTCCTCCTCCTCCTCCCCTCCTCCTCCTCCTCCTCTCCTCCTCCCTCCTCCCTCCGCCTCCTCCTCCTCCTCCTCCTCTCCTCCTCCTCCTCCTCCTCCTCCTCTCCCTCCTCCTCCTCCTCCTCCTCCTCCTCCTACCTCCTACCTCCTACCTCCTACCTCTGTGTCTGCCGTCGCCTGTTGCGGCGCGAGCATTGAAACATCTGGGTGTCCTTCAGAGCCCCGAATCATCAGGGGTAACTCGGGTCAGGGCTAACTCGGGTTCGTTTTTCGGGAATCCGAGCCCGAGTTGCCCCGGGCCCGAGTTACCCCGGATGATTTGGGCGCCCAGAGCCCCGAATCATCAGGGGTAGCTCGGGTCAGGGCTAACTCGGGTTCGTTTTTTGGGAATCCGAACCCGAGTTACCCCGGGCCCGAGTTACCCCGGATAATTCTTGCGCCCAAGATCAATGGAGAGGAAGCACGTTGCCAAATAGTTTCCAGGTGTCTAAATCATGTGCTAAACATACTTTCCACATGTAAGAGCATGCTTCGAACAGGTTTCCCACATTTGAACCACATTTCGAATTCAATGGTAGGACTGTTAGGGTGTCCATTGTCGTGGCAGCCATTTGCCTTGAGCCGAGGGGACGACAGGGTTCGTATCGACTCCTCCGATTCGATTCGTTTTCGATGGCTTCCGATTCTGATTCGATTCGACTGCGGATTCCGCTTCGGGCTCTAGTTCTCTTTACCGGAGGCATGCTGGCCTGCCGATTTCCGCCGATTCGGCTTCTCCCGACTCGGCTGCCGATTTCCGCCGATCCCATTCATGTCGATCGCCGATCTGACTTGTCGGTTCGATTCTGGGCTCTCTTGGGAAGATCACGGGGGCCCTGACCAAGACTTCGCCCACGAGCTGACAACTAACACCCATACCGATAAGTCCCTTTAACTCCTGGGGTGGAATTCTGGGGGGACCTACGGGTGCGTGTTGTCGGATGGTGGTCACCGCTCAAGCGAGAATCCCCTTCGGAGTCCGACGAGTGGCACCCATACCTATAGTGCGTTCATCGCCTTGCCCTTCCCCACTCCTCCTCCGTAGAGGTTTGAGTGCGTGCTGTTCGTTGGTCAGTCGCGGGATCTCGTCGATGCCGATCTTGATCATGGTCCACGCCGGCCGCCGCTGGTTCGCGAGGATGGCCCACGAAGTCGACGCTGGCCAAGACGGGCGGTGACCCAGATCAACATGACGTGCCCGCGTTCAGCTTTGGTCACGGTGCCCGCTTCCTCCCCGTCCCACAATCCTGTCCCACAATCTTACAAGCCTCGTCACGTCAAAAATACACAGAAGACTTCTGAATTCGGTGATTGTGGGGT